GGATGGTGGGCGGCGGGGGGCAGGATGGTGGGCGGCAGGGGTAGGATGGTGGACTGGAAGCAGGTGGGGGCAGGCTGGTAAAGGTGTCAGGATGGTGGAGGTGGAGCCAGGACAGTGGAAGGTGGGGCGACAGGATGGTAGGAGGTGGGAGACGGAATGGAAGCAGGTGGGGGGCCGTGGTGGTGGCTGCAGGGTAGAACAGTGGAAGGTGGTGAGCAGGATAGCAGAATGTGGGGACAGGCCTCAGGGCCCCAAGGAGGAGGCGGCAGGGCCATGGTGAGGTCCCCTAGGGTGGAGAGCACATCCTCCTCGGGGGTGATTCTCACCAGCACCCCCACCTGGCTCACCATTATAGGGGAGCAGCACTCTGTGATTGGTCACTCTTCATATACAAGTGGGGATCCCACAGAAGGGCTGCTCCCCAGGGACCCCTGCCTGGCTGCCCCTTCCCCGCATGGAGGCAGCTGGCCATCTGCCGCTCCAGGAGCTTTGTAGGCCCCCTCCCCCATGCTGGGGTGACCCCGGGGCCCCCTAGTCTCTCTCTAGCTCTGCAGCCTGCTGGGTGAGCGACCCTTATAGGGCAGGAACGTGCATCACGTGCCTTGTGAACAAATATTTGGTGTTGTTCAACTGCAGGGAGCCCGGTCCAGTGCCGCTGCCATCAGAGGTCTCGGGACGTGGTCCAGTGAGCCCTTAGGGCCGTCTATTACTGGGGGAGCTTGGCTGGGGGCATCCTCCCACAGGCCCACTCAGGGAGGCGCCCCTCTCCTGGGCCCCCCACAGACTGAGGCCCCATTCTGGGAGCATCCTCTGGTGCTGGGGACTGTGGGGTACCCTGATCTATAACATCACGGGGGCTGTGATAAGCCCCACCCCCATCCATGGGGTGGTGGGGGGCTGGCTTGGAGCAAGAGCTGACCCTGCCCCAGGTGCTTGGGGGTGAAGCTGGAAGGTAGCTAGCTGGTCCCTCAGGGGGGCTCAGAGATGGGTCAATGCCTCCCTGTGACTCTCTGACCCCAGTGGTCACAGCCTTGGAAGTGACATGCCCACCTCAAGTGACATGTCCAGGTCCCAGTGCACCCAGTCCGAGGGGACAGGACTGAAGGCAGCTCAATGACAGACCCAGAGATGCTGTTCTCACTCCAATGAACGGTGACATGGACGGTGGGGTGGCTGGCTGGCACTGCACCCTAGACACTGCCAGGGTACACCAGACCCTGACCCCTCAACGCTGACAACTATGGTTCCTGAGAAAGGCCTGGTCACCTGCTCTGTGGAGACCACAGCCGAGAAAGCCAGCAGGCAGGCCTGTCCAATAACACACGGGCCCCGGTGGGACAGCATCACCTGAACAGTGGAGTCTGGTCTGCTTCCAGCCATGGTCACATATCCATCTGCAAAGTCCTGTGCACATCCTATCTCTTGTCCTCCACCTCACCCTTTGAGGGGTGTTGCACCTGCACCCTACAGCATCAGGAGGAACATGGAGCAGACACATCTTGTCTAAAGGTCCTAGCTCCTTGGTGGGAGGCACTCAGACCCAAGTCTGGCTCCCCTCAGACACGGTACCCATTTAGGTTTTGGAGACATGATGGGGGCTGGGGCGTGGGGAAGATGCCTTAGCTGCTTCCCAGGCCCCCTGAGGTGACTCCAGGCTAGAGGGACAGTGAGCCCACAGGACAGCAGGTGTCCAGCGCCAAGGGCCTCCCAGGACTCCTCCTTGGTCCCTTTCCTGCTCTACCAGCCTCCCTGACTCCACTCTAAGCACTGTCTCCACCAGCCACGTAGGCGAGGCTATGGTGACTCAGGGACTCCCTGCCAGCCACCTTGTCCCCAGAGAATGGCCTCCAGAGCCAGGGAGAAGCATGACCCTCTCCTAGCAGAGAAGGGAACAGGGCTTGGGACAGCAGGCAGGAGAGCCAGTACCACAGGCTCCAGGGGTCTGGGAGGCATGGACAGCCCAGAGCTGGGGGAGTCAGCGGGATGCCGAGCTGAAGCCTCCCTGTGCTCTGTCACTGGCCGGTCCCCACCAGTCCTGCTGCCCTCGCTGTCCCAACTTGGCCTCGAGAACGATGTGCAAGCAGGGAGGACTCTTCCAGACCTGAGGGCATGGCAGACTCCTTGGGGCAAGCCAAGAGGAATCTTCCAGATCAGGGGGTGTGGGGGCCTGGCAGTCGTCCCCAGACAAGCAAGGTCTGAGCAGACAGGCCTCCCACGGCTCACTGGGGCACAGAATGGGCGGCGAGTGGCAGTCCCCAGCCATGACACAGAAGGTCGTGGCCACTCCTAGAACCTGATATCCTTCTTATACCCCGACCAGACTTGACTCCCCAGGAAGGTCAAGTCCCGGTGACAAATGCATGAGAGGAAGCCTGAGAAATCAGGCTCTGCCTCACTGCTGCCAGTGCCGTCTGGGATGCAGCCAGTCACATGTCTGCAGGGGGCCCTGGCCCACACCCTAAGACTTCTCAGTGAAGAGATCCGAGCTTGGAGGCCAGCCCGCTCCCCGTTTGGGGGCCTTGCAGGATCTACCCCCATGTGGAGACTCCAACTCTACCAGGGTGCTGACCCCAGGGTGCTGACCCCAGGGTGCTGACCCCAGGGTGCTGACCCCAGGGTGCTGACATGGCTCCACTCTTCCCATCATGCTTCATTTTAATTGGGCAGGGCCGCGGCGAGGGACCAGCTCAGACACTCAGGGCTAAACAGTCTGTTCCCACAGAGACACAGGAATACACACACAGAGACATATACACACACATCCACACCGACCATCCAGGCGCACACGCGCACACGCGCGCGCGCACACACACACACACACACATTCACTCTGCAAGAGATGCCTCCAAGCACTTTTAGCCCCATAAGACCCTGGCTCATGACACAAGAGAAGACCCTGAAAACAGGGGCCTGCAGAAACTAGACTGAGGTTCCTGGGAGAGAGGTTAGGATGGTCACAAAGTGGCGCTGATGGCTGCCCTGACCGACCAGCTGTGACCACCAGCGAGAACATCTTAACAAGTCAGAGCAGAGCTGCAGACAATACCAGATCCATGCCCACCCCCAAGTTCAGGGAGCCTGGACAGTCCCCAGAGCAGACCTCACCACGTTAATAGACAGCGAGACTTCCCATCCACTCACTGGCCATGAGCAGTCCCATTTTACAACGATGGTAACCACAGGACCTGCTGCCACACCTGAGCAGGAGGCCGGGGAGGCCCTGCTCCTCCATTCGCACTGGATGGCTGTCCTGGCCTGGCTGGTCACCCGCGAGGATGTGTTCACTGCTGTGGCAACCGACCAGCACCCAGGGACGCTGGTCCCCTCACTTGGAAGGCTCCTGGTGTGGGCTCAGTCCCGCCCCCTCAGCAGTGGCGAATGTCGTGCCAGTGCCACCGGGCGCCTGCTCCTTCCAGCTCCTCTTCCAGAGCTCGAGCGCCCTGCCCGCGCAGCCCCAGAGCTGCGCGCGCCAGCAGTTTTGGGTTGTTTTTGTGGTTCAGCTGCAGCTTCAGCAACGGCTGTTCCGAGAGCTCAGTGTGCGGCCTCGCAGTCTCCAGCCGTGCGGACGTGGGGATGTGTGCTAACACGAATAATTGCGCAGTCGGGGAAATGCAAATCCATGGCCCAGGGCAGGGGCCAGGCTGGGGTGCGACCCTCGGAGACGGGGAGGGCGCAGAGTCAGCCCCACTCCAGGGCAGATCCCACAGGCCCCCGGAACTCGGGCTGTGCGCCCAGGGAGCTATTTGGGGAGAAGCAGTTTCTTCCAGCTGCCTGTCGGCCAGTGTCACGGGTGCCAAGCTCCGAAGGCTCCTGCTGAAGCATGTCTCCCTTGGGATACTGAGGTCAGGGGACCGCCTCACCCCAAGTGACCACAGTGAGCACCTGAAGGTCACTGTTCCTCAGTAACTGATGGGCGGGAGGTCACCAGCCCTGCGCCGCCTAAGGGGCTCCGCCACTCGCGCCCTGGCTCATCTCCCAAATAAGCAAAGCTGAGGGTCTGGGGAGCTGAGGGCTCGGATTGGCCTTTGGGAGACTCCCACCGCCCGGCCCCTGCCCTCACCCCCCAGGCCTCCTCCCAGAAAGCGCTGCCCACCGCTCCCCCCCCAACTTCTTCCACGGTCGAAGCTGGGAATTGAGGGGCTCCGGGCTTCCAGGCTAGGGCGCGCGCCCGCAGAGGGGCCCAGCCGGCCTTCAGCACCCGGGACAGCGGCTGCTGGCCGTCCCGCCTACCTGTCGTCGTTCTGGAAGGACTGGTCACCCAGGAGCAGGTCCCGGAAGCGGTACCGGGGCGGCAGGGGCAGCACCTCCGAGTCCAGGTCGCTCATCTTGAGGCCCGCGATGTCCAGGAGCACACCGTCCCCGCGGCTGCCGTCCCCGGCGCCGGGCTGCCTGCGGGCACACGCCAGCGCCCCTCAACAAG